TATATTACTTTGGTTTAAATGGAACTAAACTTTGTTTTGTCCACTCACAATTTTCTGTTTTGCGCCCCACAGCCAGTAGTGACTGGAACGAGCCGCAGTGCCGTATTTTGTGCTCCTGTTTTCACGAGCTTCAGCACTTGAGCCTTCTCAGGGCCTCTGTGCTATGTAAAATCGTTAAACTTCCTTCCTACTTGTAACTTTCTTTGAATTCTGTTAGATGCTCTGTTATTGCCCAGTTAGAATTTGGTATTTTGAGGCCGGAGGCCATGGTTTGTAACACTAAGCTTTGTGTATTATGCACTGGCTGTTGGGTTGTTTTTATCTGTGTTTCTGACAGGTTGAAATTTTTGGGATCTGTCCTGTTTACAGGGGAGACTCTGCCAAAATTTTGGTAGAAAGTCTCGGTTATTAGTAAGTGGGCCCGGCATCTGCGGAATGCCGGATATTTAGGCGGGATCCGACCCGGATTCCGAGGAAATCCGGGGCGGGTCTTGTCAAAGCTTGAAGCACTTCTCAACAAGATGATCACCACCACAATGAGTGCACTTCTGAGTTCCCTTTGCATCGTCAGTTTTGGGACCCCTGGGGGGAAGTCCGGAGGACGTACGGTGTGGTGGCCGATATGGCTTGACCACCATTGCACTCCCACCGCCAAGCATGGAAGATTGGCGATTATCTTCTTCTACCACTAGTGCATAAGCTTCAATGACTGCTGGAAGCGGATTCATGGCAAGAATCCAACTACGAACGGAATCAAAGTTGGGATCGAGTCCTCCCAAAAAATCGTACACACGTTCCACCTCAAGTGCTTGTTGGTGAAGAGCCACATCATCGGGATTGGTATGTTTGCAGGGACGGAGGCTGTCAATTTCCTGCCATATTATGTGTAATTTTTCGTAGAATACATTCACAGGTTCACCACTCTGAGAGGTGGTGACTGACTGACGACGGAGTTGGTACAACTTGGAGCTATTCTGTGTGACAGTATATGTTTTCCGAGCTGCGTCCCACACCACATAAGCCGTTGAGCAGTGATCAAATAAGACACGTACATTTTTTGTCATGGTACTGCACCAAACAGTTGTCTTCATCCCAAGCTTCATAGCTAGGATCATCAATGGCAGGGGCAATCTTTTTACCATTAATAAAACCAGCCATACGACGAGCAGTGATGGCCAAGCGAACACTACGAGACCATGCAGGATAGTTGGACCCATCCAACTTATCAGGAGTAATTGGAGAGTAGTCATGAGAGGACCGGGGTGGTGGTGGTGTTGTGGAGTCGATCTTGGTGGAGTCGATTTTAGAGGAGTCGCCCGTGGAGTCGTTGGTGTCACCCATGAGGTAAATATATAAAAGGATGTAGAGGAAGAAATAGCAAACAAGAGCACAAAAAAAACTTGTGATCAAGAACAATTTTGAGGCAAGGCAAAGTATGACGTAGGAATAATATAACAGCAAATTATGGGCAAGGATAGGTAGAGATTTAAGCAAGAACAAGGTTATGCAGAGGCAACCAAAATCGATTGCTCTGATACCATGCCAAATATAGTGTAATTGAGAGAGTTGAGAATGTATAATAAGAAGAACAAGATAGGTTTTGCAGAGAATTCAAATCTGCCAATTGAGTTTCTTACTTAGTGAAGGGTTAGATATACAAGTATACAAGGTGATTATTAGTTACAAACAATGCACAAGACATGGAGGGAAACATGGAGAGTTTCCATCCCTAAAACAAGGAAGAAGAAAACAAGGAAAAGTAACAAGGTGGTAGACAAGCCATTTAGGGATGTCTATATTTTGTCTTTGTCTTTACTAACAATATCTTCATTTTGCCTCCGTCAAATACGTTGTAGACTTTCTTTCCAAAAGCCACACCACAAACCAAACAAGAGGTTGAAATTTGAAGGGAGAGAGAGAGAGAGAGAGAAGAATTCCAACCCTCCATTATGTTACTGTCACGGAATGAATTATTCTTGTTCATTATTATTGAATGTTATCTTGTGAAGTTATTATATAATAAAATACAAAATTTGATGAAGAATTCGTTTCGACAAAAATGCTATATATCAACCAGTTCTCATGTTTTAAGCCTTCAGCCCAACCCGTTTACAGAAGATTGGAAAGAAAAAATACTCAGTTATTTCCATTCGATTATAGATCGTCTGGGAGTTTTGGATGGCAATTTTGTAAATAATGGAAGTGACAGAGTTACTTTAATATGACTTGATAGTTACATATAATCCATGCGTCCAAATTTTTTTTAATTTAATTTTTTAATTTTTTTTATGCAAGCGAAATTCTACTTTAATTTAATCTAAATTACTTGGAGAGGGAGATTCGAATTCTGTTGTAGAGTGGGAAACACATCAGCTTTAGCAAACTAGGCTAAGCCCATGTCTGCCAATGCATCCAGTTTTATTACCTACTTTTTATCTGTATATGTTGAAGACTACCATTGAAGTTCTATTTACGTTGAAGACTTTTCTTTCCAAATACCACTGAAGTTCTATATATGTTTTTTTTTTGGGTCAAATTATTTACGTTTTTCGACCAGTAGTTTGCTGCATCAAAAGATTTGAGTAAATTGAGACGCCCAATGAATATTTGTGTAAACCCCACCCTCCCAATGACTTGTATTCAAAATAAAAATTTGTGTCTCCAAGCAAACATTTCATCCATACATCACATGCATTAGAAATTTAAGTTGGACTCTGTTGCATTAATGGGTGCAAATTAGTCCTAATTTACTTGAAGGCAAATAAATATTTAATCAATTGATAAAATCCTAATTAAGCCCTTTTATGCAAATCTGTTACCATCATACACAAAGACTTTATCTAAGGTGATTAACTGCACGAAGACTCCAGCGCTAATTGCACTCCACCCAAACTTAATTTTCAATTTTTTCCTTTTGTCTAAAAAAAGACAGGCTTGTAGATTAAGTGGTTAAGACAGACTGAGGTGCTTTTGCTGGTAGTATAGTTTTTCTTAGTCAGAGTTGGATGGCTTGGAAAATTACTCGCTACTTCTTCTTTTTCCTATTTCGTTTGATCTGTTTGTAATTTCCACCGTTTTTCCGTGCTGCTTATATGCATACAGAGTCAACCACAATTGCCAAAACATGATATAGCTATAATCTCTACCAGTCCTTTCTAGATCTCATCCTTGAATCGATCCTGAGGTGCAGCGTAGGTCTTCATAATATCATACTATTATTTCTTTCTTAATATTTGCTGATAAGGCGATTAATACTCCGCAGCTTCTTTCTTGATCTGGAGGTACTGTCTCTAACTTATTAGCTCTCTCTTATGATTATATATGTTTTCAAAAGGTCGTTATTTGTTGAGATCCTTTGGTCCTTCGTTTCTCATTCTCAGTTATACAGCTAAGTTGGACCTAGTGTTATTTGCATATTTATGAATATATATATACATACATGCATGTTTTGACTTGTAGGAATTTGCAGGTTTTTGATAGGGATATGAATTCATCTTCTTCTTCTTCTTCTCTTCCTTATGCTGCCCCCCTTAAAGAAAAGTATGATGCTTCTCTAGTTGAATGGAAAATTTGGGATTGTATTCTTCTCTTTGTGGAGGTGAATATAAAGATGTACAAGTTGACTTATCATACAAGGTGTAGAAAAGGTTTATTTTCTCATATCTGTCAATGATACATGGATACAATATTTATACAGTAATGACTAGAGTAACAGCCCTATACTAATGACAGAGTAAATTACATAATTAATTACATAACTGAAAACTGTTACAGAGCATATTGAATAGGTCTCATTTATTTGGTGATTACTGGTGTAACTCCCTAACATTCCCCCGCAAACTTGACGCCGGGGAGGTGACAAGGTTGGAAACGAGACGCTGGAACCGATCCGTGGGTAAGCCTTTGGTGAAAACGTCAGCCAGTTGTTGTGTGGAAGGAATAAATTGAACTTGATGACTGCAACTGGCAATGCGTTCGCGAACAAAGTGATAATCAAGGCCAATATGTTTGGTGCGGGAATGAAAGACCAGATTAGCAGCCATGTAAGTAGTGGAAAGATTATCACAATTAAGGAGAACCGGACGAGGGAGAGGATACCGAAGTTCACGTAACAGGCCTTGGATCCAAATAGTATCAGCACATGCATAAGCTAGAGCACGGTATTCGGCTTCGGCACTAGAGCGAGAGACGGTACGTTGTTTCTTGGCACTCCATGAAATGAGATTGGGCCCCAAAAATATACAATACCCTGTAGTGGAGCGACGGGTGTCTGGACACCCTGCCCAATCGGCATCAGAATATGCAATGAGGAGAGAAGGATTAGCGGAACAGTAAAGGGATAAACCATGACCAAGAGTGCCTTTGAGATAACGAAGTATGCGCTTCACAGCTTCCAAATGTGTATCACTAGGAGAACTCATGAATTGAGAAACATGTTGAACGGCATAGGCTATATCAGGTCGAGTGATGGTAAGATATTGAAGAGCACCGACGATTTGGCGATAATGAGTTGGATCAGCAAGGGGAGACCCATCAGTGCGAGAGGCGGAGGTTCGTGAGGCCATGGGAGTGGAGATGGGTTTACACTCTAGAAGATTACTTTTCCGGAGAAGATCGAGAGTATATTTATTTTGTGTAAGGTGAACAGAATCTTTCAAATGGGACACTTCGATGCCAAGGAAATAATTAATCGAGCCAAGATCAGTAACCTCGAATTCAGCAGCAAGAGTAGTGATAAAAGCAGAGAGTTGAGAGGGTGTATTTCCAGTAAGTACGATATCGTCAACATAGAGGAGTAAAATCATTAAATGCGAGCCATCACGATACACAAACAAGGAGGAATCAGAGCGACTTTGAATGAAACCAACCTGAAGGAGAAAGTTACTAAACCTCTGAAACCAAGCCCGGGGAGCTTGCTTAAGACCATAAATGGCCTTATGGAGTTGGCAACCGAATGTTGAGAGAAATTTCGTGCCAGGGAGTCCCAAATAGCCATAGAGGTGTTAAGGCCAACAACCTGAGAAAGAACAGATTCTGAAAAATATCTAAAAGGCTAAGAGGGAGAAGAATGGGGGGATGCGGGATCGTACTAAGGCTTTAAAAGTCTGTCAATGATACATGGATACAATATTTATACAGTAATGACTAGAGTAACAGCCCTATACTAATGACAGAGTAAATTACATAATTAATTACATAACTGAAAACTGTTACAGAGCATATTGAATAGGTCTCATTGATTTGGTGATTACTGGTGTAACTCCCTAACACAAGGAATAAAATAAATACATCCTAAAATAGGATTCCCTATTAAATAAGAAATATATTTCCTACTCTAATTGTCCCTTGACTCACGCCAACATTCTCCCTCAAGTTCTTGCGTAGATATCTCTTGTGCCCAACTTGACAAGTGAGTCATAAAACACATTTGCTGATATTGCGTGCAACAAAACATCTACCAGTTGTTCTTCAGATTTCAAAAATGGGATATCAATCAACTTTCCAATAAGTTCTTCCTTAATAAAGTGTCGATCCACTTCAACGTGTTTAGCTCTATCATGTTCAATTGGATTGTTTGAAATTTCTCGAGCTGCCTAATTATCATAGTAGAGATCCATAATTTCCTTTCCTGAGGTGGAAATCCAATTTCAGTGATTAAATTTCTCAACTAGAGAAGCTCACAAACTCTTTGGGCCACACTCCTATACTTGGCCTAAGTTGCAGATTGTGCCACTACATTCTGCTTCTTACTACACCATGTAATCAGGTTACCTCCCAAAAAGGTGAAGTAGCCTGAAGTAGCCCGACGTCTGTCTGTAATATTACTAGCCCAATTTGCATACGTAAATCCTTTGATATTTAGATGACCTTGTCTCTTGAATATCTAACCTTTTCCTGGAGCTCCCTTCAAGTAACGCATCACCACTGCATGATGTTCTTCACTGGGTGAATGCATAAACTGACTAACAACGCTAATTGCATAGGCAAGATCAGGACGAGTATGTGACAAATAAATTAGTTTTCCTACTAGTCTATGATATCTTTCTTGGTTTGTTGGTACTTGGTTAGGGTAAATGGCTAGATGATGATTCTATACAATAGGAGTGTGCGGGTGCACACCTTAGCATGCCTGTTAATGTCAACAAATCCAACACATATTTCCTATGATACAAACAAATTCTATCACTAGAGGGTGTAACCAGAAGATGTACATGTCCTAGCCATTTATGCCATAGCCTTAGGAGTCCCTACTTATAGAGGTTGTTTAACTGTCAAACTGTCAGGCAGGAATGTAGGAGTTTCTATTGTTATAAAAAATATAGTTTTCCTTTTCCGCAAAGCCAAATACAAAAACCTTTATATTATAAATAACATATAAACAAATTGGAAAGCTTTTAAGGTCATGAACCCGATTCTGAGCTCTGGGCCCATACTTGCACAGATTGGGCTTTTCTGGCGCGACGACATGCGGGCCTATCTAGCTGTTCCTTGATCAACTCGGCCATATGTTCTACATCACTTTGTATTTAATTATATCCACGCAAGTTGTGTGGGCAAATAAAGTCTGAAGGATAGCGTATCCTACACGTCTTGAAGCATATCTTTCATCCTTTCATTATCATTCCAACTTAAACACTTCTTCTGTGAGCCATTCCCACATATTTTGTAAACAAAAATCTCTAAGAGGAATTCTTGGTGTGTAAGGAAAGTCACAACACTCAACACTTGACTATATGCACTAATTTACAAGGGGAAAATCCTTCGCTAAGAGTGTAAGAGGGGGTCATTGCGTTGCCACTCCCATGTACCATTCTTCGGAGGTAATTTTACTTTTGTTTTTCCATGGCTAATGATTTTCTTGGATCGTTTTGTAGCTTTGTGCATATAGCCAAGTCAAACAATTGCTAAACTAAAATCTGATCTAGCTAGTCTCAGCAACTGCTTTTTTATTTCCTTTCTTTCTAAACAACAAAGGCCACAAATCTCTGAAGCTGCCAGTGGCAACTTATTTCTAGCTCTCTTTGTCTCTTGCTTAAATGGGTCCTCAGGTGCAACTTAATTAACCCCTTCCATCTCCAATATCAGATTCTCTTTTTTCTATAACTAAATACTCATAAACATACGAAAGAGAGGGATATGGAGTTCCTTGGGTGCTTTCTAGTTTTCATCATCATCATCATGACTCTGTTCTACATGGGCTTCAGATCATTTACATCTTCTTCTTCTTCTTCTACTTCTTCTGTTGCTCCTGCTGATATTGACATCCCTCCTCTTCAAGAAAAGTATGATGTGTTTATTAGTTTCAGAGGTAAGGATACCCGCCGTACTTTTACCAGCCATCTCTATCATGCTTTATGTGGGAAGAAAATCGAAACCTACATAGATTACAGGCTTGTGAGAGGAGATGAAATTGTGCCTGCCCTCCTCGAAGCAATCAAGAGATCAGCAATTTCGGTAATCATTTTCTCAGAAAACTATGCTTCTTCTACTTGGTGTCTGGATGAACTTGTGCATATACTAGAATGCAAGCAAAAAAGTGGCCAGTTGGTTATACCCATTTTTTACGACATCAGTCCATCAAATGTACGGAAACAACAGGGAAGTTATGCGCTTGCATTTCGTCATCTTGAAAAATGTTTCAGGGATAGTATCGACAAGGTGCACAAGTGGAGGGCTGCATTGACAGAAGCAGCCAGTCTCTCTGGGTTTGATTATTCAGAAAAAAAAAGAGTAATTAGTTCTGTAACTTATATTTTGAGTTCTACTTGTGACTATTTAATTAGGCCGGTATACTTACTAACAATTTGTTTGTTTGTCCTTTATAATTATATAAGCCAGGTTGGAGGCCAATTTAGTTTAAAAAGTTGTCCAAGATATTTGGGCCAAATTGAACCGCGAATCGTCAATTGATTTAAGGGGCCTGGTAGGAATTGAAAGGAAAATTGAGAAAATTGAGTCGTTATTGTGCTTGGATTCACCATGTGTTCGCTGTGTGGGTATTTGGGGAATGGGTGGTATTGGCAAGACCACCCTTGCGGATGCTATATTTCAAAGGTTGTCCTCTAAATTTGAAGCTCGTTGTTTTTGTTGTGAATTGAGCACAAAACTCAACTCACCCTCCCCTAATGATCTTGTTGTTGATGGACTTTGTGACAAACACAACTATGGATGAATCACACACACTACACTTGAGAAACCAACCGAGCACAAAATGACACAAGAATTTATAGAGGTTCAGCAATTGCCTACATCCTCTTGGTGATCCCCTTGAGAAATTCACTAATGAAAGAATAAGTTACAACTTTGGTTTACAAAGAAACCCCCTTAGAACTCTATTCTCTCCCCAAGCTCTCTTTTCTCTCTCACCCCTTGCTCAACACTTTGATACACTAGAAAACTCTTAAGCCATGATTTGCTTCTTGCATGCTAAACCCCTTTATATAGCCAAATATGCAAGAGTGTGAATGCAACCTCACACTATTCAAATGTTGGCTACCAAACTTAACCATGGATGGCTACCAAACATTCCACCATTTTGTGCCACCAAACAAGTCACCTATTTTTGACAAAGATGGCAAGCCAATATTTACTCACATGGGCAACTCCAAAATTCTTCTAGAAATGAGTCAACCATGTCATGGAATTTAGGTAGAAATCCATAGCACACAAAAGAGGACTTTGTATCCTTAGGTGAGCCAAATTTCCAACAGTTTTCTTGCAAATGTTAGGGAGAAATCAGAACAAACAGATGGACTGAATCAGTTGCGAAATAAACTTCTTGGTGAGATATTAAAGGAAAAAGATCTAAATATCGACACTCCTTCTATACCACCTATTACTCGATATAGGCTCAGCAGCACGAAGGCGCTCATTGTTCTTGATGATGTGAATGCTCCAAGCCAACTAGAATTTCTTGTTGGTCATCATGATCAGTTTTGCCAAGGAAGTCGAATCATTATAACTGCTAGAGATAAAGGGCTACTTGAGCAAAAAGTTGACCATGATAAGATATACAAGGTTGAGGGATTAAGTTCCGAAGAAGCTCTTCAGC